TTATTCAATCAGCCCCATGCCAACAAGTTTGGCTTCCCACTATTACCTTATTTTAATCCTAATCCAGTACCCCATTTGTCAGCTCATTTAAACTAATCATTTCTGTTCTTTTTTATACCCAAACTACCCTTGTTAAGCCTTGATTATTACTGTCCTAAACCATTGCAGCATCAGNCCCTAAACCATTACAGCATCAGGGCGTTTTGAACTTCTGAAAGTTCAAATTCAAGACTGTCCTAGCCTGATTCTTTTAATTGTTTACAATGCAGTTATAGGCTAATTTCAGGCAATGTCGAGCATCCAACTAATCACAAACAGGTTTGTTCACTTACATGAAGTTGTATGAATTAGAATATTTGAACATTCAGTCGTAGGAAACTAATCGACGACGTTTATCGAGTCGACTATACTAATTATAACAGGTAATAATCAGTCGATTAAATAAACAACACGAACAGGGTCCCAAAGGGCTTCAGACAAACTTGCACGACATTGGGGGGCTATATGAGTTATCTATGCGACGACTAATCTAATCGAGCATGTATATCACAGAACGTATTCAAACATACACAGAAAACAATCGGCCAAATAAAAGGCCTCACAAAGATGGAAGAAATTGGAATGAAAATACCAGAAATACCAAACAATCACAACAAAACATGCTAACAAACTCAATCAATATTCGAACAAAACTAAAAAGAAAAGGGAAAACTTACTGAAAATGTTTAACAAAAGCCGACCCAGGTCTGACTTAGGTTTGACCATTTGAGGCCGAACAAGCTTTAATCGGGGTGTTCTCAACCGAGAACACCTTGATAAAAGTCTATTAGACCCCAAACCCCTTATGAAGCCGGTCGGATTCCAAGGTTCTTTGTGTCCTAGGGTTCGAATTTTTAGATTTGGTTTTTTTAGGATTTGTGGGTATATTCGGACTAAACCAGGCTTGGTTTGTTCACTAGGGTAGTCAGGGGATTGTCCAGTGTGGATCTGGGGTGGTTTGGTATAGATCGAGTCTTGTCTCGAATCTTCGAATGAAGATTCGAGAAGGTGGGGGAGGATTCGAGGCTAGGGGGTAACAGATTTGGGTTTGGGGTGGTGAGATGCATCAAGGGTGTTAAGGGGGTGGTCAACGACGTCCTTGCCGCCGGCTTTAATGGCGAGGGAAAAGGGGGCGGCGTTAGGGTTTCATGGGGTTCGGGGTTTGGTGAAGAAAACGAGTGAAGGGGGGTTTGGATAGGGGGCGTGGGGTGTGATGGAGGGCTTATATACGGAGTAGGGGATTGGATCTGGGCCGTTAGATCAGATGATCTCAACGGCTTGGATCCGATGGTGAGGGGTGAGACGGGGTCGTTTGGTATTAAAACGAGGTCGTTTGGTTTAAGTGAGGGGTTGGGTCGAACCGGTTACTGGGTCGGGTTTGGGAACGGGTTGCTAAAGGGGGTCCTGGGCCGTTGGATTGGCCTGGACGGACGGCTCAGATCAAATGGCTCATACGGCGCCGTTTTGGGGTCATGCCTGGGCAGGCCTGGTTTGGGCTGGGTCTTGCATTGGCTTTGGGCCTAATTTTGGGGTCCAAACCGATTTTCCTTTCCCTTTTTTAATTCAACAAATTAAACAAAAATTCCTAAAACAATGTAAAAATTAAAATAAACTTACACACATATTGGGTGACACCTACAACAATTAACACACACATAGTAGAATTTTAAAAATGGTTAAATCACAGCCTAGAGTAAAAGCTGCATATTTTTATGAATTTTCTTTTAAAAACCGAATTACGGCCCGATTACACACGGCATACTTATTGTATTTTTGTTTGATAAGATTCAATGAAAAATGGATATAAACACAAAGGACTACCAGCACATGTCACATAAAAATTGAAAATTTGTACGGCGAGGCCATTTGCAATTATTTTGATTTCTTTTGGAGTGATTGTTCGTGAAGCAAAAATCACGTGCTTACAATCAATAAGCTTTTCATGCATGAGAACAATTCTCAAATTTCTGTACCAATCATCAAAGTTTGGTCCTACCAACTTGTTGGTCTCAAGTATTCCACGCAGTGATATAGCAGACATATTGAGAAATCTAAAATATAGAAAGAAAAAGACAATAATATAAGAACATATTTGCATATATCATAAAGACATGGACTTTTATCTAAATGATATTTCCACTAATTAGTTTAAACTATTTACCCTCGTTATAGTTTACGAAATCTTTATTTCTGTTAGTGGAGTAAATAAATCCTTTAACAATATGTATGAGCCCCTTGGAAATCAAGTCGTTTCTCACATATATTTTAAAGGTAGGTACTCTTACCAATTGTATCCCTATACAACTTCCTTAAATAGCTCTATGTCAAATAGTCCCCTGGTAATCAGGTCGATCCTATTGGCATAGTTGAGTTCAACCATCATGATAGCAAATAACTTATTAAATTTTATGCTCCCCCGGGTAGTCCAGGCGTCTAGTGTAAAATTGAATAATTCTTTCAATCCATACATCTAATGCAA